TTTTGTTACACGACTAAAATGCCTTCTGAATCACCTTAACTGTCAATTCTTCCAAAGGTGACATTTGAATTTTTTTTTTTATGTAACACACTTTTCCTTCTAGAATAAACCCATGTACCCCATCCGCCCACAAAGGTGCATATAAATAATAATAACTTTTGTCAGAAATTACAATATTCCACATTTCTAAACAACACTGGAGTAAATGAGTGCAGCCACAACACATTGAAACCACGACAGAGAGGGGGGGGGGTGCAGATGCTGCTTTTTCACATGTTTAATGGTGAACTTGTTTGACTTTTTTTTCCCTGTGTGCTACAGGTGTCACAGTTTGAAAAGCAAATTTCGTCAGCAACACTTGTGTGTCTTGATGGAAACATCCCCATCTCCACCATAGACTATGTCTGTCATTTGGCCAAAAAGCACAACGTTAATGGTAAGAAGGGTGAGACAGTCACAAACAAAACATCATTTTAAAAATGAATTAAAATAGTGTGTAAAAAAATTTAAATTACATGCTGTACAAAAAGGTTTTTATGAGGTAGTTGAAGTGCATTTAAGACGAAATCCAGGCTGTAATAAATTGTGACCTGGCTGGGTTCACTTGTTATAATGTGATACCATTCATTTGTGTCACAGTGTGGTATGAGCCGACTGGTACCGATAAAGCTTGTAAGCCCTTCCTGTCAGATGCCTGGAAGTCTCTCAGCTATTCCTCCCCAAACTTGGCAGAGTTGTGCACCATGAACAGAACCCTGGGGATCCAAACACCTGAAGGTTCGTTTTCTTGTACTAGTTTTTTTGTTACTTCCATTACTGCTGCTCCAATCCAAACACCTGAAGGTTCGTTTTCTTTTGTTACTTTCATTACTGCTGCTCCTCTTTATTGAGATTTGAGTCTTTGTTTTAACCACGTGTGAACCAACACTTCAATAATCAACAATGGACACACAGTAGCAGGTTGCACTTTTTAGTGTGTCCTTGGAGTGGAGGACTTCGCACTAGAGTCACACACCAAGGCCAGGACTTGAACTGGCTGGCCCTCTGATAATGCACAGTCCTTCTGCCCAACAACTCTGGTTAACATTTACTTTAAATACAGTTGACCGTTCTGACTAATTGTTTTTTTAATGTAATCGCTCTTGTCAACAACCAGTAGTCAAGGATTTGGTTTTGTCTTGAAAAAAAAAAAAAAAAAATGACAGTGTTGCCATGTTCTGTGGAGGAGATGCTGAATTTTGCTGTGACTCTCTCACTCCCCCTTCTGGAGCACATTCACTGTCTGGTGGTAACTCTCGGGGCTAATGGTGTGCTGCTCTGTGGGGAGCAGGATGCAGGCTCAGTCAACCTACAGCCAAGACAACATAGGAGGGTATGGAAAATATATACTTACTCATTAGGGTTAGCAGGAAATAACAGTGACTATAATGATGACTTTTTGTTGTTTCCAGTCTTCCCAGAGCAGACATTTGTGTGCTGTACACTACCCGGCACTGAGTGTGACTGCAGCAGAGACGGTAAATGTGTCAGGAGCAGGAGACAGGTACTGAACCGTTACTTACCCTTCACCTCCTCTTTCCCAGTATTTTTGTCTCCTCTCCAGTTACAATTACTTTTTTTTCAAGACCTCCGTTGTGTCAGTTTTATTAAAACCATCTCCTCTAAAAAAGGTGAATTAACCACAATTTATAACAACTCTGTCTGCAGTCTTGCAGGAGCTATGATGGCAGGGATTCTTCGGCACAGAGACACAGACAGCTGTGTTCGGATGGGACTCTTGGCTGCGATGATGTCACTGGCGTCGCCTCATCCCATTTCTCCTGTTCTCACCTTAGACTCTATTGATCCTAACAAAGTCCAGAATGTGAGCTGGATGAAACCAAATTACAGGTGTATAGATTAGATACATTTTAACATTAAACCTTTTAACTTAAGGCATTAGGTATGGTTTTTAGGTCTATACTGTTTTAAACTGAATTTATGGCATTATATGAGTTACTATGCTCATTACAAAACTGCGTCACACTGCAAATGGAAGTAAATTGATTTCTTGAGTGTTCATTCTG